AGTACAGTTTTGAAAAATGTAAACATGATTGTTAGTTAAGTAAAAGTAAGATGTATAAACTTCTAGCTGGAAAAAAGAGAACCAAATGGGTACATGTAATAATAAGAATCATGAGGAAAATATGATACAATAAGACCATGTACTATCGCTCAGTACCCCACTCCTGTAGGAATCCAAAATCTGGGGAAAATGTATTCTGATTAATAGCAACAAAAAGGAGACAACATTAATTTACAGAAGTGAATAATAAATAGTTCTGGAGCCACTCAGTGTTTATTGTAGAAAGTTCAGAAATCACATCCCTGCTGTACTCAGCTTCTAACCAACTGAAGCAGACAAACAGGGTCATCCCAGGATTAAAGCGATTATTAACAGTAAACCTATCATGGTAATTAGGGCTGCTGCAACAAATTACCATAGACGGTATGGCTTAAATAATATATATTTCTCATTGTTCTGACAGCTGGAAAGTCCAAAATCAAGGTGCTGGCAGGTCTGGTATCTGGTGAGGAAATGCTTCCTGGTTTGTAGAGGGTCATCTTCTCACTGTATCTATCCTATCATGGAGGAGAGCAGAGAGAGGGGGCTCCATCCTCATCACCTAATTATTTCCTAGGGTCCTACCTCCTAATGCCATTGGCCAGAAGGTTAGGATTTTAACATAGGAATCTTGGAGGGACACAAACATTCAGTCCATAACAGAGTGATTTGCTCTCCTTTCTCCCAATTTAGGATGATTTCTCCTTAATCTTCTCTTTATCTGGACAGAAAGAGCAGGAGCACAGTGGGCATAGTCAGCTTACTTCATAGAATCGTGGTTCACAACACAGCCTCGCACCTGGAGACATAAAAATACCACTGTCCAGGCCTATCCCTAGAGATTCTTTATAACTGATCTGTGGTAAGATCTGGGTGTCAGTATACTTTTCTTTCCTAGGTATCATAAGAATTTTAATTTATAAATATGAGGAATAAATTTAAAATAAAAATAGATGTTACTTAATATGTTAAAAAGTAGATAGGTAAACTGATTGAAATGTGAAAAGTTTCTAGATTAAACCTTTTCATTTCCCCCCCAATATTAAGGGGGTACAAATATTTTAGGTTATATGCATCACTTTTATAATGTTCCAGGTGCAGCTATAGGTGTGTCCATCACCCAAATAGTATTTATTGTACCCAGTAGGTAGGTTTTTCCCTCTTCTCACCTCCCCCGGGTTGATTTCCACTGAGTTTTACTTTCCTCTGTGCACATGAGTGCTCATTGTTTAGTTCCAATTTAATAGTGGGAACGTGTGATGTTGGTTTTTCCATTCTAAAAATATTTCACTTGGATGAATTGTCTCCAGTTTCATCCAGACCATTGCAAAAACAATTAACCCATCCTTTTTTACAGCTGAGTAGTACTCAACAGTATACGTATCTCATAGCACACATTTAGAACTGTCAGATATTTCTGATATGCTACAGGGTTGAGAACAATTGACTAAGAAATCAGCAGCTCAGGGCTGGCCTAAATGTAACCAGAGCAGCTTTTCCTGCTGTGGAAGTAAGTTAATGTCACACATAAGTATACTCATATGTTAGCTGTGACCCAGTAAATGTAAGGATTACTAACCAGAAAAATTTCTCCTCCTCTCGCTGTGTATAAGTGGCAAACAAGAGAAGATTAGAAGATTTCCTGCCAATTTGTTCTCTTCTGCACAGAGAGGCAAATTTGGTTCTCTTAATGGAAGGAAACTCGAGAGTGGCAGAAAGTCCCCACCACAAGGTATTAAGTAGTCCTAAAAATTACTATTACAGTGACATTGTGAAAACATGGAAATTTTTTTTGACATAATGTTAAGCCTTTTGCCAAACTGTATATAAATTATAACTATTATGAAAATATGCATAGGAATAAAATTCCTATGTTCTACTGGTAGGATTTTTTATTCAAATAAAGCACACTAGGACCTTGCTACTCAGATGTGTGGTCCATGTCAGCAGCACTGGCAATCACGTGAAAAGTGGTAGAAATGCAGTTTCACCTAACGTTTCAGAAGTACCAGGAAATTCTGTCAAAAGAAGGAACAGCAGAAAAAAACAGAAGAAGGGGAGGAAGAAAGACAGAGAATAGAAGAAAAGGGGGAAAATGGGATTCAGGGAGTAGGGGCAAGATTCAAGAAAAATGGACAATTTGATGGGAGATAAAAAAAGTACTATTTCCCCCAGCACTGTACAAAAGTCAGTTTGTCTGGCAAGAAAGAATCTAGCTGTCAGTGAGTACTTACAAATGTCTGCATTTTGTGACCAGCTGCTATGGGAAATAATTAACACATATATAATATAGCCTCCCCCCAACAACGTACCATTTCAAAAATTAAGGGAACACAGAAAAAATAGCCTGTAATCATGACAGTTTTTCTTTGTCACTTATCAGTTCACAAAGCACAGTCATATATATGGTGTTAGATGCATAATGAACTCATGAGAAAAGTAGTGCAGGTATAATAATCTCTGTGAAAAAACCAAGCAAAGATGCAAGACTTCAATGTTTGATGGCTCCAAATGCAAAGCATGTGGGCTTCACACCCACTAATTTATGCAGCAGTGCTCTGCAGGATTAACGCCAGGAACTAGGGGACAGATTGATACTAGGAAAGGCATTTGTGAGTTTTCTGGATAGATAGATAAAGATCTACTATGGTGAAGGTTCTGAGAACTGAGAGGATAGTTCAATTTGGAGAGACAACATAACACATAAGCAAATAGGATATTTGGAGACTGACTCCAGGCAACTCAGTCACTCTCTCTGTGCTTCTTGGGGATAATCATAGCAACTACCTCCTAAGGTTGCTGGGAGGAATGAGTCAATATGTGGAGAGAAACTAAAACAGTGTCTGACAAATAGTAAGTGCTATGTAAGAACTATTACTACTGTTCAGATACCAGACGTTTTCAGGAATAATTGTTAAGCTTCAAAACACATCATATTAAGGCCAGTGGTCCCAGCTACATACTAGAATCATCTGGGGAATATTTAAAAAGTACTGATGCCTAAGCTTCACCTCATATCAGTTGAATCCAAATCTCTAGAGCTGGAGCCCAGGCAACAGAATTTTTAAAAATTCCTCAGATGATTCCGATGCACAGTAAAGTCTGGGAGCACTGGTACAGACAAAGTAGGAGAGTCAGGTTGACTGCTTGAAACCTTAGGCATCAGTGATGATGATGGTAATAAATGAAGAGTGGAAGTGAATCTGTTATGAGGATTTGATTTCTTTCGTTTTCATTGTAAGACGATAATACTATGGAAGACTTGAAAAGAGAAGTGACATTTTAAGTGGACATGCTCTATGACAGAATGAGATGGACTTAGGCAAGACCCCTAAGATTTGAGGTAGGAGAACAAAGATGTCAGACAAGAGTACAGAAAAGATGTGGAGAACTTAGAGGACATAAATGGCACAGGGTCCCAGGAGTCAGGCATGTGGGCAAGGTGACTGTTTCCAACAAACTATGTCAAAAATCACAGGCAGATAAGGTAGATTAAGGATGAGGTGAGGCCACCAATAGCTTGAGTGACAGAAGGTGCTGGTAAGCACACAGGTTGGAAGTGGTCGGGGTAATGTAGAGATTGTAACTGGAATGGAGAGATCCCAGGAATCAAGTTAGTATCTTGGGATGGCTTTGGGGCACTTATAGAGGAATAGATATGGAGATCAGCAAAATTAGGAAGGGGAGGAAGCCAAGAAGACCAGATCTGGTCTGGATCTGGACCAGTGATGCTAAAGATGCCCCTGTAATTCCCAGAGGTCCTCCATGTGTTCTAAAGTGGGAGCCACAGGTGTCCTGGAAATCCCCAGCATAGGAAACCCCACATTACAATCTGTTTGAGTGTAGCTGCATCTCGAGTGGGGTGAAGGGCAAAAGTCAGTGCATGAAAGCAAAAATTGAGTACCCTCAAAATTACCATTCTCATCTCTTAAGAGGTACCAAAGCAAAGGCCAATGTACCAGCTGCCAAATAGCTAAGCAAAGACAAGTTTTCTTCATTGTTGAAATAGTTCATTGTTTCTTCTTTTATGCATTTTTATCTATAATTTCTTTTTAAAATGCATATTAAAACAGTTAAAATACATAAAAGAGATATTTTGCATATATATAACATCAGAGGTATGTGCTCACATTATAAGAGGCCCATGGAATTTGGCAGAGCAGAATTGTGATTATCATTTTGGACTCACTCTATTTGCTCATTGAATGGAATAGGTAGTGAAGTTTCCAGCCCCGTTTTTCTAAACCATTGTCTTTTGCTTACTTTCTGATATGTACCAACACACTCCTATAATAAACACACCAAGTTGTTTGTTTGTTTGTTTGTTTGAGACAGAGTCTTACTATGTAACTCTCGGTAGAGTGCCATGGCATCATAGCTCACAGCAACCTCAAACTCTAGGGCTTAAACGATTCTCTTGCCTCAACCTCCCAAGTAGGTGGGACTACAGGTGCCCACCACAATGCCCTGCTATAGTTTTGTTGCAGTTGTCATTGTTGTTTAGCTGACCCAGACCAGGTTCTAAACCGCCAGCCTCGGTGCATGTGGCTGGAGCCATAACCACTGAACTACGGGTGCTGAGCCAAACACACCAAGTTAAATGTGACTATTGTTAACTCCACTGTCCTTGCTTTAGTCTATAACTTCATAATCCTATCCTCACATTCCCTCAAAACTATGCAGTTAAAGCTATTCAGGCCTAATGACTCATTTATATCCACTTTGATAACTTAAGATAAATGGCCTGATGAAGGGGTCTCAGAGGCACACTGATAAGGGAATCCCAATCATGTATAAGTATGAATGTGAAATGTTCACAGTTCTATCAGTACACAACATTGACAAGAGACAAATGTTCCTTAAATTTTCTAGGCCATCCCTCCCTCTGATTTCCCCCAAACCAACTATACTCACAGGCCATGCCCTTCTTCACCTGCCCAATATGGCCCACAGTAGGGTAATCAAGAGTCCACCCTCCCCCATCCAAGCAGCCTGCAAAGTGCACCCTTGACATCCTTATTCCGGAGACTGTACACAAAAGGGTTGGCCAAAGGTGTAACAGCAGTATACATTACTGAAGCCACCATGTCCTGATGCTGAGAGTTCTGGGAGGGAGGCTGGAAGTAGACCCAAATGATGGTGCCATAGAGAAAGCCAACCATGGTCAGGTGGGATCCACAGGTGGAGACTGCTCGGCGGCGACCAGCAGCTGAAGGCAAACGTAGAATGGTGGCCCCAATTCTGACATAGGAAAGTATAATGAGGATACAGGGGCCCAGCATGAGGAAGCCACCCTCTAAGAATATGGCCAGCTCATTAGAATGCGTATCAGAACAAGAGGCTCTCAGAAGTGGTCTATGGTCACAAAAGAAGTGAGGCAGGTCAACGTTGCCCCTAGTATCCCCAGCCCATAAAAGCGGCAGGAGTAGTCCCACGTGCAGGATGGTGTGCACTATGGACACCACCCAGCTCAAGGCTAGTAAGCAGGCACAAAGTTGGCGATTCATCACCAAAGCATAGTGGAGAGGGTCACAGATGGCCACATAGCGATCCAGAGCCATGACAGCAATGACAAGTGTGTCTGTGACCCCAAATGCATAGAAAAAAAAGAACTGAGCCAAGCAACGGGCAGCAGGAATGGCTGGGTAATCGGAGACTAGATGGGCCAGCAACTGGGGCAGGGTGACTGTGGATAACCCCATGTCTATCACAGAGAGGCCACGGAGCAGGTAATACATAGGTGAGTGGAGCCTGGAGTCCCGGGAGATGAGCAGCACCAGAGTCACGTTCCCCAATATGGTGGTGAGATAAATAGCCAGGAATAGGAAGAAGAGAAGAGTGTGGGAGACACTAGCTCTGGAGAAACCAAGGAGCAAGAAGACTGGGGAGTGTGAAGCATTAGCAGCACAGCTCATGGTGAGTGATGATGAGCCTGCCTAAAAGACAGATTAAGTCAAAAAGCAAGTCCTGCATCAGAGGTTAGGGATCAAAACATTTCTACTCAGTGCAGTTATGTTTTTCAAGGTCTTTAAAGATCTACATTCAACTCTATCTATGCTCCTTCCTCTAGGTCTAGGATTTCACCCCCTTAATGTATTTATTTTCTCCTTTATCACATTTTTTAAACCTACTCTAATGGTTCATTCCATCTAATCCACAAAGCTTGCCAAAGCCCCCAGCTACAATGAAAAATCCTTTCTTCATTCTTGTCTTTTCATCCAACTACTGCTTATCTCCTCCCAGTGGCAAGCTTCATGAAAGAATTACCCATACTCACTGTCTCCTCACCTTCCAGTCACACTTCACCCCACTGCAGTCCACATAATTTCTTCTCTCTGAACCTGTATGGAACATAATGTAACATTAAAACACATAACATATAAAGAAATTGTTCTAAGTAGTTGACTTTTATACATTTCCTCTAAAAACTGGAACAAGACAAAAACACTCACTTCTCAAATCCGATTTGACACAGTACTATAAGTGACCAGAGCAATTAGGCAAAAGGAAAAAAAGAAATAAAAAGCATCCAAATTGGAAAAGAAAAAGGTAAATTATCTCTGTTTGCTGATGACATGATCTTATATCTGGAAAAACCTAAAGACTCTATCAAAAACTCTTAGAAGTAAAAATTGCTTTTAGATCGTTATGAAATGATTTGGTTCTCTCTCCATTCCTTGTTTTGGCTAACTGCATCTTCACCATTTGCCCATCTCCCCCCATCCAATCACTCCTTAACTTCTGATGTTTCCCCTTATGCCCATTTTTTTTGCTGTCACCATCGGCATCTCAGACCAATGCTAATTTCCCCAACTTCAATACTGCTTTCCTTACCTACATCCCCTGATAGGTCTTCTATATGATGCCACAGTAAAACTTTCAACATGTAGTAACACCATGCTCAAATAGTCAGGGACTTCAGAATGAAAGTAAAACAGCTTTATCTGGCTTGGCACCTATAGCTCAGCAGCTAGGGCGCCAGCCATGTACACTGAAGGCTGTGGGTACAAGCCCAGGCTGGGCCTGCCAAACAACAATGAAAACTACAACCAAAAAATAGCCGGGTGTTGTGATGAGTACCTGTAGTGACAGCTACTTGGGAGGCTGAGGCAAGAAAATTGCTGAAGCCAAGAGTTGGAAGTTGCTGTGAGCTGTGATGCCATAGCTCTCTACTGAGGGTGACATAATGAGACTCTGTCTCAAAAAAAAAAAAAAAGAAAAGAAAAAGAAAAACAGCTTTACCTGTCTTGTATGGAACTTTGATTATTAGTACCCTATCCTCTTTTAGGATTATGCTGAGTCACCTACCCTGTATTTTAAAATAGACATCTTTTCTTAATTAACACAGAAAGTGTAGCAGCCTGTATAGCCTATGGCTAGGAGGAATGAAAGTTATAAGAAACACCTGTAGCTCAATAATGGCACGCCTTGGTGAAAAGGGCGTGGGGAGGGATTTACCTCTCCTAACAAGCCTGAGAGAACTCGAGAGATGAGAGCATTAGTGAATTGACAGTCTCTACACCTGTGGTGGTGAGAGGCACGAGGTCAGCTTTATATTAGGCTGGAGGAGAAGGGGGTCAGGAGCACGCATTCTATCACGGACCTGTTTACTCTGCCACCTCGCCTGCCTGCCTGCAGAACGCCAGCACAGGGTCTCTTTGCTGAAGCTTACTAAGCTCTGCTAAACACTAAGATCTATTCTAAAACTATTTCACCCTCAAAGACTATCTCTCTCTCTCTCTCCCTTTTGCTACGGCAAATAGCCTCCAGGCCTCTATTGTTTCTGAGCAAGGTAGCATAGCAGTCCAGGTCTGGAACCTAGATAAGCCAGGGCTGGAGACCAACCAGTCCTGGACCCTGACCAGTGCCAGTGACAAATGGCACTGAGATCTAGTAGGCATGGGCTGAAGGGAGAATAAGCTAAGAACAAACAAAAGAGAAAAATAGAGGGGGGGAAAGAAATATGAGAAAAAGACAGCCAACAACAGGCCTTCTCTTCGTTCAGTTTCTTTTCTAGGCTTTGTCTTTCCAAATTCTAACTACCTCTTCTGTGGGGAAAAAAGCTGAGAAGCCTTTAGCCTCTTCTGTGAAGTGGCTGGGGGGGCGGGGGGGAGCGGAGGATGGGGGTAAGCGGATAAAAGCCTTTAGAGAGGAAAGAGGAAAAATAGAACTAGGAGATAAGGAAAAACCTTTAGCAAACCAAAGCCATCAGACTGGGGGTGAGAAAAGCCTTCGGCAAAACAGCAAAGAAGTTTGGGAACTGGTTACAAGAGTTAACCAAGTTGGGGAAAGGAACCTTTCTTTGCCTTCCTCTGCCAGCGTCCACTTTCAGCAGGAAGCAGCCTCAGAACGATCGAAGCCCCCTGTCCTTTAAGGCAATAAAAGGTTCAATTTGAAAGGGAAAGATTGTTCGATGTTAAAAAAAAAAAAAGGGGGTGGGGGGAGATTGTAAGAGGTAACAGGCTGACAGGAAATGAAAATCATGGCAACTGAGCTAAAACAGCTAAAGATCAGACAGTCTTACAGTTGAAGCTACTAAAGCTCTGTCAGCATGAGCTCAGGTGAGAAATCTCTCTGTCACCACTGAGTACCATAAAGGTGGGAAGGCAGGCTATACGAGAAACTGCTGAAACCAAAGAATACAGAGCACCAGTGAAGGGAGGGTTTCTCTCTAAGTGATCTAGAATACAGAACACCAGTGAAAGGAGGGTCTCTCTCTAAGTGATCTAGAGCAACAAAGAGAATCTAAACTTCCAGGCGTCTGCCCAGGGCAAAGGACTGCTGCTCTCAGTTAAAATGAAAGAAGTTAAAACAATGTAGTTCCTTGAACATCTTCATGTCAAACTGTTCTTAGAAAACCAGTGTAATTCAACTCTGTGCCATGGGAATGCCCATAAGTGTGGCGGACCTGTGAGGCCTCACAGAGTTTGAGGAAATTAAACCAGACCAAGAGATGACAATGGAGGAAAAAAAATAAATGTTTATCTTTTGTTCATCTTTTCCGTTAAAAGTTTTTGGTTGCCCTAAGTCTCAGGACAAAGGTAATCCCCCCCCCCCTTTGGTTAAAAATGGTTACCTTGAGTCCCAGACAAAAGTAACCTCCCTCTTACCCGCCTGTACTGTCAAGCGTGTCCTAACAAAGGGGGTTAGGATGTGCCCCAAGGGAAAGAAATGCTTGAGGTAAGCCAATCTTTGAATCTTAGGAGGAATGTGAGAAGGTTACAAAGGGAGCGCATTTTGAAGGTCGCTTTTATGTTAGGGAACTCTATTAGCGATAAGGTCTGGAATCAATTACGGAAGGAAAAATTACGCTAGAAAAGCCGTGTAGGAAAAAGCAGGGAAACGCCGCTACCGAGTAATCTCGAAGTGCGGAACTCTCAGTCCGGGAGTAACACCTCTGAGAAGAGCAGGGGCAAAACCTTTGGAATGGCAAGAGTGAAATCCTTGCTTGCAAAGATTACAAGGAAAGTGTAATGTTGTTCATCCATGAATTAAACTTAAATAGCAAAGGAAAATCTTAGTCAAACAAATAAATGCTCTCAGCTAAGATTTTGTTTTTCTCAGTTTAAAAAGACCTTTAAAGAAATTAACATTACAATTACTGTTTTTCCCTAAGGGTGGCTAACATCTTAAATCTGTATTGGGCTTCCTCATATAAAGAGCCCTTATCTGGAATTCTGAACTTTGACAATCACCATATTCTTTTGCCTAGCAAAAAAAGGGCTAGACAACAGGAAGAACTGCCCTTACCATATTAAAAATTGTGTATAAAAAAGGGGGGGAATATAGCAGCCCATGTAGCCTATGGCTAGTAGTGAGTTATAAGAAACACCTGTAGCTCAATGGCACACCTTGGTGAAAAGGGCATGAGAGCTCAAGAGAAGAGAGCATTAGTGAATTGGCAATCTCTACACCTGTGGTGTTGAGGCACGAGCTCAGCCTTATGAGGCTGGAGGAGAAGGCAGTTGGGAGCATGTGCATTCTATCACGGACACGCTTACTCTGACTCTGTCTCCTCTCCTGCCTACAGGGTCTCTCTGCTGACGCTTACAAAGCTCTGCTAAAGACTAAAATCTATGCTTAAGACTATTTCATCCTCAAAGACTTTCTCTTTCTCTCCCTTCTGCTAAGGTAAATAGCCCTCACGCACCTAAGGGCGATTGTTCCTGAGCAAGGTAGCATAGCAGTTTGCGCCCAGAACCTAGATAAGCCGGGGTGGAGACCAACCAGTCCTGGACACTGACCAGTGGCAATGACACGAAAGCCCTCAAAACCTTAACTATCAGGTGGCACCTGTGGCTCAAGGAGTAGGGTGCTGGCCCCATATACCAGTGGTGGGGGGTTCAAGCCCGGCCCCAGCCAAAACTGAAAAAAAAAAACCCAAAAAACTTTGAATATCTTCAAATGTTATTTTAAGAACTTAAGCTTCCTGAAATATGAAGTATAAATATCCCCAGACACTCACTACAGATAGAAATTTAGAGAAAATAGAATAATAATATTTTAAAATTGATAATTGAACTTCCAAGAACTTCCTAGAAGGGCCTGTAATCAAAGATTAATGTCTGGTTCAGCACCTGTAGCTCAAGCGGCTAAGGTACCACCCACATACACCAGAGCTGGCCGGTTCAAATCCAGCCTGGGCCTGCCAAATAGCAACTACAACCAAAACATAGCTGGATGTTGTGACAGGCGCTTGTAGTCAGCTACTTGGGAGGCTGAGGGAAAAGAATTGCTTAAGCCCAGGAATTGGAGGTTGCTCTGAGCTATGATGTCACGGGCAACCTACCCAGGGTGACAGTTTGAGGCTCTGTCTAAAAAAAAAAACTGTTCATGACACCACTGGAGACGGTGGTGGGAGGTATGTGGCAGGGAGCATAATATCAATCTGCATAGTTACATTTCAGTGGAAGGGTATAAATGAACAGGAAAAAATACATGGGCTATGGA